TACTGTTACAATTTTTAAAGATTTTGTAATTATCAACTATTAATTATAGATTCATAATATTATAATTTCTCTGACAGGGTCATGATATGTTTCTATGACAGACTCTGGCAATTTTAGGTGATAGCAGAACAATAAAAGAAGAGACCACACGGGCCAGGCACTTGAACTCACAGATGCTTTGATACACGTCTTCCATTTCCCTACTCTGCTTTCTGCTAAATTTCCAAAAGAAGGGCTAATTAAGTGTATTTTCCTGCCTAGCCAAATTAAAAACATTACTTACAAATTCTCAGAATTCCATACTAACATTCTGTAAATCTGGAGAAAATTTGCTTTCAGTCTTACATAAACATCTGAATCATGTGTCTCTATGACACTGAGACAGTCTTACCTGTTAAAATGTAGGAAAAAAAGAACTCCCTTGCTCCCAGGAGTTAATCAGAAATGTATATAGAATAAAGCCATGACATGAAATCATGTGTTAGATCACAACCCAGCTAATCCCAGCAAACTTAATACAATTTTTCAAAACACTGAAAATTTTACTGACTGAGAACACTGTTAAGTATGGCACAGGAATCCTGAGGATAATAAGAACTTGATTTACATGTTTGTCTGCCTGTCTATATGTCTTTTCCGTTCCTTTTCATTCAAAAAAACCTTTTACCTCTTAATAACCAAAGAAGCCCAAGCCATGGTACCTTGCCATTTCTTCCTGGCAGATAATACAACTGCTATCTGCTCCACCACCACTAACAAACCTGAGACATGCAAGTCTCTGATATCAGACACATGACTGTGTCACTGACTTCAGCAGCAAGGTGGCAGGATCAGTGAGGTGGTGAGATTCACTTCGTGAGATACTCAACTTTTCTTTGGTAAGTGCTATTTTTTCTCTATTTCCAGTAACATGAATAAGTTATTCAACTATGTTGCCTTAAAATGGGAATTATAGTAAAGTTAGGAAACATAATCTGCTATAATAGAAACAAGACTTAGGACTTCATTAATAATTACATAACTGATGCCAGCTTCCCAAGTGCCTTGCTTCTCTCCCTGCCATGTTCTATCTCTTCTTACCTAAAGACACTAAAACACTGTGATTTAAGTATGGTGATTTAGTTTGCTAACTAAAAAACCCAAATATCAAATAATGAACCTTGATATTAAAACTTCTAAATTCTAATGACCACTTTATCATCCCTTTTCTTCTTCAATACAAGGAGTGTGGTAAATATTTCTGTACCCCAGTGACTAAGATGATTTTACCAATTAACACTACACACTGAAGGTAGATCCCAGGCATGTGTCTCATGTTCACTCATTCCACCTGAGATTCACAGCAAACACTGGCTAGAGGACAGTTTCCCTAAAGCCCACCACCAGAAAGAAAAAAAAAAGAGAAAAAAGAATCATCAGCATGCACTCATCAGCCTTTATGCAATGCTTTCTGAAGCTGTAATTTTCTTTTTTGCCAGCCAAAACTCAAAAATAGAAGGATGCTGCTACATTTATCAGCTGCAATGACAACAAAGGCTGATCTCCAGTTAAACAAGCTTCCTACAGTCTGAGACAGACAGAGAAGCTTTAACTCCTGATATTCTTGTGAAATACAAATCTTGTCCTGGTTTTCTCCACAGTTTTTTTAATCTCCCTCACTCTGATAAGCAGCCTGACTTCTGGACATTAATTTACCACACTCATGCTACTGAAGAAGAAAAAGGATAATAAATTGGTCATTAGTATTAACGTTAATAGGTTTTAAAACCCAGGTTCATTATTTGATATTCAGGACTTTTTACTTGTCAATTTAAACTCTGAACAATTTCTTCACAAACCAAAGCAACAGGAGAGAGAGACATCCTTTCTTTTGAAGAAGTTTTTGCTGTTAGATTGCTTCATTTCTGTGAAAAAAGTCCATACTGCAAAACCTTCAGTCTGCATTTGTGAAAAAGTTCCATTAATAAAAATGCTTTCCCACTGTTGTTGCATCTGCAGTGACCTTAGAGCAGCAAACCAGCAACTGCAAGCAAGTTGAGCCACCAGAACAGGATTTCTAGTCTCTGTCTCAGAGAGAACCAAGACCACAATTTTATTTCACAAAGGACAGAGGTTTTTTATTTGCAGGAACTGATGGCTGCTTGCTGCAGGTAATAGCAAAAATTGGAATTCAATAAGAACTTACTTTTGCAAAGAAATGTAGTAATTACTATTCCAGGGAACAATTTGTTAAGGCAACGGGAACAGATTCTTTGCCTGAGAAATCTAGCCTCCAACTTTGAAAGCCTTACCTCAGCAGATAGCCAGAAAATGGCAGAGGTTTTGATTTAACAAAGGAGACAATACAGAAAGACACTGCCAGTATGTGCAGCAGACTGGAAAATGAAAATGTTATAATGTTAGAAGGCAAGATTTATAGAGTAGCTTATTAATGTCAATGGATTACTAAACTGCACAAATCAGATATAATGACAAACAGTTTAAGACTAAATAAGCCTGCTTTTGCATACTGATGCATGCCTCTTTTATAAGGCTGAATTGTTGCTGGTGATGGTTTAATTTAACACTAATTTTGCAGTGGCGTGACACAAGGGCCATCAGTGCAGAAGTCTCTGGGGTCTCCTGGCCTAGCTGAGCAAAGCAGCACAAAAGAGGAGGACAAGGAGAACTGGTTTCCAAGCACATACAACCTTATGTAGAGGGATCCTGTGGGAAGCACAGCCCCTCTTCCCTGTAAAGAGTGAGGGACATATCTGAAAGATGGTAGAAGGAACATGAAAGGGAAGTCTCTACTTCCACTTCACTCCACACCAGTCAGTGAGAGAGAGTTTATCTTCTCCCACAGCACAGCAGTAGGTGTAGTGTGCCCAGGAGTCCTCAATATGGGTTTCAGCTGAGACTGTAGCACTTCAAGTTTACTGCTACTTCCCTCCACCAAGCTGCTGGCAGAACACAAATGTCCTCAGCAGCTGCAATGTGCTTTACACACATTCCTACTCTTCTGGGTTACTGTTGCAAAGGAGTAAACACTACAAATCCAGCAACCAGGCCAGGCTTACACAGGGCTTCTCGAGTTCAGATTCTTGGCTGAACTGTCTAAATTTCCAAAGCCAGAAAAATCTGGGATGGTGTCCCTCAGAGAATGGTTTACCTAACAGAAACAATAACAGAAACGGCTTTTAGCCACAGATATTAATCTGAAATTTCCTAGGTTCAAGGATGTCTTTGTTGTGTTCTTTCAGAGAAATTTCATACTTCAAATTTTTTGTTCATTTTCCTTTAATACATTCTCTCTCTTTCTGCTTCTGGTCTCAGTTCCCTCATTTTTAGGGTCTGTGTTATCTTTCTTTTGTTATTCCATTTGGCACCCTATTCTCCAGTCAAGGTTAGACCATATTCTTCTGTGTACTTTACTTGCTTCACCATAGAGTAGTGTCATAACCAGGCACTGTAGTCATCTCTGCAGACACATCAGAGGTAACTTGGTTACTGCATGGAAATTAATGGCTCCCCAGCTTTGAATTGTTGATCTGGGGATAATAATGTCATTGTGGTTTTTTTCCTCTCTTTAACATAGTTCCAAATGTTGACAGATCACCATGATCTTAGCTCCACAAGGAGGAGTAAGTTTTGCTTTGAAGATGCTACTTTGCATGCCCCAAAAGAGACTTACCTATTTGAGACTGAGCAACCATAGTAGATTTGCGATCACACAGTGGAGAGAAGGGAAGCCCTAGTTCTGCTTCTTTGTCACCCTGGAGAAACAAAATTGAGAAAAAATTAGAATAAGACAAGACACATAGCACTTTGATATCCTAGATCGTGACAGTGAAAGTCTGGCATTCTACTTTATTTATTTAAGTTCTGATTTTGGTTTGGTGGTTCATTTGGTACTTTTTTGTTTTGGTTTGTTTTGGTTTTTAATTGGTTTTGTTTGGGTTTTTTAAAATTTTGTTCTTGTTTTGTGTTTTTTTGGGGTGGTTGTTTTTTTTTTTAAAGCACTAATTCTGAGAATTTGAGTCTGGCTGGAAAAGTTGTAGTTCAAGGAGAAGTTAGTGAATTAAGCTTCTTCATTCCAGTGAATCTTTCCTCAGAGCTTTCCCTGCCTGCCTAGTACTTCTATGCAACAACTAAAAACACACTTGAGCACAAGAAGAGCTTCTTACTACAGTTCTCCAGAGAAACCAGCAGAATTCAGTTCTCAGAGTAAACCTTTCAAGAGAAAACATCAGCATCACTGATTTTTCAGGGCTTGCACTTCTTTGCATGTCTTTTCCAGTCTTTCACATAAGGAATTCACAGGTCATGGCTGGCCAGATGCAGATTGCTTTTTTCTTCCAAAGACAACGCTGACATTGTCAACATTTTACATAAGTGCTTAAGTACAAAAGTTCAAACATGCTTTCCAGCCCTCAGAAGTGAAAGTCCTTTTCTAACATCTCAAGATGGTGCAGAAAATCAAGTGCTTTAACCCTTTTTTTTCTAGTCTTTCAAGCTGCATATTCTCAAAAAGCCCTTTAACTTGGTTCAGTGGTTCTATAACATATTGCTTTATGCTGAGAAGATATATAGGATGACATAGTTGCAATACTCCCCATTAAGCATTCAAATTTAAATAGCCTGTTAATTATATTACAGAATCAACTCCTTAAATCAGCAGTTGGCTTTAACTGTGCTGAACTTCTTGCCAGTGTTCTGACTAATGTCAAATAAAAACTAAAATAGCCAGCAAACTAATCAGAGAAAAACTTCTGTAGGCACAAGAAGAGCTGAATTCTTCTTCTCTTTGTTAATATAACATACAATATAACATACATGAAATGGGGGCACAACTCCTATTAGAGTTTTGGGTGGAATAACAAGTAATGGTATTCTGCTACCATTGCAGAACAATCCCGTTTTATGTTAGGAATCTGACATACAAATATCAGGGTAAAACAGAAACCAAACACATGAATATTTCTAAGTCACATTCCTTTACGTGTCTGCTGCATCTCTCAGGATGCATTTTTCTCTTACTCCTTACACGTTTTAAAAGCCCCAGTGCCTAATTCTATTTAGGAAGGAACCCCTAGCTGCCTTCCTGACTGCTCAGAGAGGTACTTGACTACTTCTAAGCTGCTTGAGCAGCTCCCTCAGTAAAGCAAATTAATACATGCAAGACATTTTCTTTAAGAGATGCCCACCATAGCTGCTGAGTGTAAAAAAAGAGCGTTGCACTCAAAATCATCATTTACACCTACAGCATGGTTACTTGGTGTAGGAAGACCTGTGTCACACCACAAAATACTTGGAAACCAATAGGGCTGGGAATCTGTGCTGATATAGGTTAAGTCAGGATTTATGTCTCTGCAGAGCACATAACAGGAAGGACAGGGGAGAGTCTGCAGCGGAAGAGCATAGAGAAATATACTTAATCTGGGCCAGCCCAGTTTCTTATCACCATGGTCCCCTCTAGCTAGCAGTGTTTCTCAGCTTGTGAAAAGAGTGTCTGTTTTTTTCCTGCTGTCAGGTACAGATGTATTTACCGATCTAGTAAAATAACTTCAATGAATAGAAGTCTATGCTTCATGGTAAGCTTAAGGGTTATCCTGAAGAGGGAATTAATACTACATCTGAATTTGGAACTAGAATACAAGTTTTTTATAAAGCTTTATCTAAACGTGGAGCCATTTGTCATTCAAAACTAAAGTAGGATTTGTTGGCTGAAATGAAAATATTCTTATGAAAACACAAAATAATAATTTTGTCTTCAATACATGTGTAAAACAAATAAAAACTTGGACTTTTTTGTGGTCTCATATCTAACTAATCTTAGTTCCCTCATCAGTCTTTAGGAGACTCAACAGTGGTGTATTTTAACACATCTAGTATAATGTTGAGCTAGAAAAGCATAAACATTCATAGAGTTTTCCCTAAAATGTATGTGAAAATCATCCCACTTGCATAAGCTCCTGTGTGGCAACACAGAGACATCTGCAGCTATGATCTACATGCTCTCTTGGTTTGAAAAACAAATTAAAGGATTCATTTCAAAGCAAATTCTTACAATGTCCTTATTAAGAAGGGATTCCCATAATGCCTTTAAAAATGGATGCCATTTAAAGATTGTTAGAACTCTTTCAAAAATGTAATATATTTTTCTTTTTTGCATTCAAATTTACTATAAAACATGAAGTTACTGAACTTTGGGGGGAAATGAAGCTCTTGGTTTTCTGTTTAGTTAAGTAATTCATATTGGTGAAAAGTACCCTAAACATTCTTAAGTGCTCTGTTTACTTTTCCTTTTGTCTTCTTTTTTTTTTTTTTTTTTTAGGCAGCTCTTTAAATTAGTCACATGGGAAGCTTATAGTTGTCACATAGAGCTTAATGATTTGTCTAGATTTGTGGGTCTGTCAACAGTCCACTGTGAGTTATAAACTAGATCAGTTCACTTCATCTAAAGTAAGGGTAACGCATTTTTCACATCTACTTTAGCAATGTAAGTACACTTCTACAAAATACAGCTACCTAAATCTGTTTTCTATGGTTCTAGAATGTAGAAGTATAACATCACATATTCTATATTCTAATTCAAAACACAAATTAGCTTCACAAATTAGAATTTCTATGTAGTTAACGCTTATATCTACAGGCAGTGTATCTATAGGCAGAGTAACAGACACTAACTTCCCAAGAGGCACAATAGCCAGTGCTACTGGTGCCACATGAGAAAGCTTCATATCATTTGGGAGGATCTTGAGCAAATCAGAGAAGGAAAGATCTGCATTCATATTTTCCTACTTCCTTGCCCAATCCTACATACTCCCTCTGTGCTGCAGAAATGATGAGGAACTTCCCTAGCTTTACCTGTCTGAAGAACTCCTCTAGCAGAGACATGGTCCAGCGATGATGAAGATCCCAGGCCTTGGCTGGATGACTGATATCTGCTGTATGCAACAACAGTGATAAGGCTTTCGGCTTGTCAATTCTGAAAACCCAAAGGATCAAAAAAATTAATTGCTCTTGCACTGGAGAATGACAAAAATCTCACCTAAGCAGGGAAATGAGGCCACTAGAATCTTTAGCCAGGATTTCAATGGAATGATTTCTGTGTTTATAAAATCAGACAACTATGAAATACCATTCCTGTTGTAACAGAGACATTAAGAAGTGCAAAAAGAAACTTTGCTCATCCTTGTTGAGCTCCTTTCCAGGTTTGCTTGTCTGCACAAGCAGGCTCGAAGAGTTGCTGTGTTCCCCATTTCAGCTGGGCTGCATTTTATGCAGCTCAGAAGAGAAGTTGGTCCCTAACATCTTACTGTAGTAAACAGGATCTGATCTCAGGTGCACTGATGAGTCTACATAGTAACTGATAACTGTTTCACTGCTAGAAAACTAGTGTGAGATCAGAAGGGGATCCTTGTATCTGGTTCCACAGAATAAAAAAGGCTGGCAATTTCTTAAAACCATAACCTAGCTAGCCCAAGAACCCAGTAAATGCTGTTTTCTTGGGATGGGTAGTCTTGGCTTTAATTCCAGCTCTTGACTATCTGAAATAGCTGGAAGACTTGTAGCTTCTGAAAGGACCAAGTGGCTAGCCACACTCTGATCTGATACAGGTATAATTCTGGGAGGCTCTGGACAGACCTGTGCCCAGGGTGAAAAAATAATCATCACTCAGAGCTTTCTGCAGTATAAAAGCAATTTTATGGGGAAGAGCTATGGACAAAATTACAGCTCCCAGTGGCATACTGGGAAGAAAAGGTCTTCCCCATACTGCTCCATCTGTTATTTTCCAGTCCTTCCCTCAGTGGATCTCAAGTTGTTTTCATCTGCCCTCTGGTTATGGAGCAGGCTCCTTGCAGAGGTGGCAGCTGATACCATCTACAGAAGGTCAATGAGTAAACTGTGTTCTGCAGATCTTATAACCTTGAGTCATACTCAAGCTGTAGAGGTCTCTCAGCTGGACCACGTCCTTGATGTTACCCTGATATGCAAAGGGAAATGCCCAGGGAGGCTTATCCCAACAGGTGACCTTTGCGAGCTTTTGTCCACCAGCACAGAACAGAGGTGTATGTATAGGGAGGGTGCCAGTTCACTCCTAAGTGAATTCATTCAAAATTCAACAGCAGGAAAAAAATCTAAGTGAGCATGAAAGAGACTGAGGACTTTTGGAGAGGTGCTTTTGAAGTCAAACACAATGGCAAAGCACAAGCTGAAATGCAGCCCCTCACTGCACAGTGTTGTGAAGTGACTCACCCTTCTGGCTGCTGCAAAGCATTCTTCATGGCTTTGATTTGCTGGAAGTGACAGGACATATCAGTGGCCAACACCATCTCAATCACTAGAGCTCTGAATTCCCTTTCAGATGGCATCACAATGAAAGGAACAAGGAAAAAGAAACACAAAAATCAGCATCAGATACACTCCAATTTCTTTTGTTGTCTACCTGCAAATTATTGTGTGTCACCCTTCCCATTATCCCTCTTTCAGGGACAGGGGAGAGAATGACTGATTTCCTATAAAAACACAGGAGTGGCCAGGTGGCTAATCCTTGCTAAGAGAAATCCTAGATGTTTTTTGAAGAGTGAGTTAGTGTTAGTACTCCTTTCTCCATTAAGCACAAACCTCTTAAATTGATTACTTTTACAGGGCATTCTTAGAAGGAAGTAAAAGACTGTTTAAAGCCATGGCATGAACAAGTTGAACTTTTGAACCTGAATCACTATCCACTTGCCTAAAACTAGATGATACCCATGTTGAAAGTTTAGTCATATTATTGAAGGAAAAACAGCATGTTAAAAAAATCTCCTAGTATATCTGACGCATATATGCAGTCAAGACCTTTGAGAGCCTGCATTACTTCACTGATATGTATAAAAAAAATCTCCTAGTATATCTGACGCATATATGCAGTCAAGACCTTTGAGAGCCTACATTACTTCACTGATATTATTCATTCAAACTAGTTCTGTAAGTATTTTTGCTAATCAAACTTGTTTAGGATCCAGTTGAAATTCCTTTGAAGATAATATGGATCTCCTACTGATTTTAAAATATCAGAACAGCACACAACACATATTTATTTTCTCTTTCTCTCAGTTGAGCTATCCACAGGTTAACAGAGGAAGAACAGCTCCAGGTTAGCATACCAGCTGAGAATTTTGGAGACTCAGAAATGACTCAGCTTTCATCTAAAAATAAAAGTTACCCTTTAATGAATGTTTCATGAAGGATCTGGTCTATTTTGAGCACATCTCACTTGTCTTTGGTGGCTGCGCTCAAGTTCCAGCTCCAGGCCAACACTGCGTAGAGACCCAAGACTGTTGTGCTTAACTCATCCCATGGGTGGCATGTAATGAGTCCCCCAACCAGGAGTTCTGCACACACATTAAAATGGCATCATCTAGCCTCATTCTTTCATGCCCACGTCCTCCTTCCACCCTTATGTACAGTCAGTTGCACTGCCAGCGTCATTGAAGATGATGATATGGTGGCTGAAAACCAACTTATTTTAGACTATTTTAATCTTTTTATTTTCAACTGTCCTGGTCAGTTGCCTGGTCTGGTTCATTCCCAGCAGCATAAACCTCTCGGTCAACAAAAGCAAGAGAAACAGAAGAGAATCTGAATGCATAGAAAAAAGGTTTTACAAGAAAAGGGTGCAATATGCTGTGGGAACAATCAGTGCTTGGGATTATTCCTAGAAAACACACAGAAAAGCCATGAAAGCAGAGGACTGGGATGACATATGAAAAAGGGGGATGCTGGAAGTTGCTGTCACCGTGGCAGCACAGGCACAGCAAGCCAGCACCACAAACACCTTTCTGCACTACTTTTCATGTCCACACATTACTGTGAAACTGTGCAAAAGTAAAGCACTGAATAAATAGCCTTTATTATTACCCATATATAGCGAAGAGGCAAGCAAATTCATCTCTCACTTCCAGTGCTACCAGTGACATTCTGAAGTCAGAGATCCCCCTGCTATTTCGGCAATACCCTTTACTCCCAGGGATTCCACCACAGTTTTGTACTCAGGAAGAACCAAAGTTAATGCACTCAAGCAGTAATTGTCCTGAGTCATTTCTTCAACAACTTGACTCCAGAAAAATCCAACAAGTCTTTACAATACAGGTAGCCTAAAACCGTACTCAAGCAAAAAAAATCATGCAATCTGATGAAAAAGGAATGAGGATCATACCTCTAGCATCTATCAGCTAGTGCAAGCTGACAGAGGCACGCACGTCCTCCACTTCATCTCCTCCAGACAGTCACAGTTGCACCAGCCTAAGGATTCACAAGCATGCTCACGTCACGGCATTTTCCAATCAAGAGAACTCACCCGTCAACTCATGCCAAGGAAATGGCCTAGAGACAATCTGCCCT